CGGCTATTCCTATAGTATATTAGATGCGTTTGTCCTGTATTATGGTGGTAGCCCTGCTGTCCTTGCCTGAGGGCGTCCTCACATATCTGTTGCCCTACCAGAGGTAGGTGGAAACCTTTGCCATACAGGCACGCATACTAACCTTCCCAGAACATTGGGTGATGTATGGATCATTACGGAAATCAGCAGACCCCCTTCCCCCCAACTAGCGCAATACGTTTTTCACCGTGTGTAATTGGTCATCTGTGACTAATGAACACTTTCTTCACTATGAATCGTGTAAGAATAACAACATGAAATAGAACTTTATACCATCATGACCCTCAAATTAATTCCAGGTATTGTCGCGCGAATATTGTAGTTCCAAGTGCATCTTCCAAGACATCCCATACAGTATGTTATTCAATCAATATTAACATTTGTGTCTATTTTATGGGTCACACTCACATGTTAGTTCTGTAGACTAACTTGAAATGTGTCGCCTTGTGTTCGTATATATTCATATATAATGTAATGTTAAAACGTTTTAGATAGAAATAAATCTAATAGATATTCGTTTCAATGCCGAAAAAACCTAGTTGGTTCAAGATAACGTAATAACCAAGGAGAATTATGATTGGTAGAACACAAAACGACATAAACAGATATATGACGCCATAAGCTATCCAAGGACGACTGTGAAAGATGGAACAAAAATCACAGAACAAAAGAAGAAGACGTTGATTTGGTAACGTGGACGCGAGAGTTCCAAGAAAATGAATGGAGCTTAACCAGGAAGCGGACCCTACGTCTGACCTAGAATAACACAAGGTCCTCCAAGTATGACCGTGACCAGGTGATGAAAGAAGCCGATGGAAGAAGCGATTGGTTAAACCTACTCTAAAAAAACTAAAAAGAAAAAAAACGACGCCGCAACAAGAGACCACAGTGTTGATAATGAATTACGGTAGACTGAAAAATGGATATGATTGGCCGAAGATGGTGTAATGTAAAGGATTTGAAAGTGGTTGCTATTGGCTAGATAATTACAACAGGCCGGGAATGACGCACTAGGCTTAAAAAAAAAAATCAAATTTGAATGGAATTAAAACAAAACAAAACAAAAACCTTCGACTCCATCGGTTACTAACAGGTGTAGTAAGAAACCGAAGGACAAGTGTGACAGATCAACTCTAATTGCCTCAAGACCGATGTTGATTAGCTGTATACCATGGGCGGCGTTTATTGGCTCGAAATGATATACTGTAAGACCCCCAAGGATGGCGTTTATTGGCTGTCGTGTCGCGCAATAGGTCCTGCCTTGCGGGACCAAGTTTATATTACCTCTGTTTACTTCAAGGTCTAGCTATAGAGCCTTAAGTGGTGTTGTAATAAGCGAAAAAGAAAAAAGGGAGAATTAGGAAAGAGAGACGGACAGAGCTAATAATAGAGAGAGAAGCAGGAAGGAAAAAAGTAACTGCAGGGAAAGGCAAACAACGATGAAAAGGATAGAGAGAGAAAACCAACTGAGACAGAGGAAGATAGAGAGGGAGAGAAAGGAGCACTAAAACACTATGGTATCAGCAATGGTCAGCAGTTAGTGAGTGAGGGCGTTACGTGTTCGTCAGCCATCACCACCGTTGACAGCTGACGTTGACTCGACTTCTTGTGTTCCGCGTTTGTGGGGAGGAAGGGGAAGGGACGAAGAAAAGCCTGAGTAAAAGATGGGAACATAAGAATGGGGGAAACTGCAGCGGGTTTACAACGGAAGCCCCTCGAAATCGAGGATGGCCGACCCAAGGGCAGGGCCTCCTAGGCGTGAATTCGTTTAAGGTGTAGAAGCTGTCGCCAACACAACAACCACACCCTAAGTTAACGAGCTGCATGACACAGTGTCAAGGAATAGTCCGAGAAGACTGGACAACTCGCCAACTGTACCGTCTAACCATTACCCCAGAATACGATCCGCAAATCGATTAACATCCAGGTTCCCCATTACTGCTGGGTCACAAAGGCAAATGGCGTAAAGAAACTTGGGCGGGTCTATTAGCCCATACTGGGCAGTCCCATTTACACCCAACCCCTATCGCTCATATATTTGTACAACTTTCATTTGAAGCTATCCAGTGTGTTCGAGTTAATGACGATGTTCGGTAACTTGTTCCACTCATCCACTACTCTATTCCAAACCAATGGTTAGATAGTTGAAGCACATTTGTTATATCACCTTTGTTTAGCCCTGACTTCCATTTATACACCTCGATCATATAGCCCCTCACTCTACGTCTCTCGAGGGAGTGCAAATTCAGATGCTTTAATCTGCCTCTATGCTCAAGGTTCCTAATGCCCAGACTAGCCTTGTCGTCATCCTCCTCCGATATAAAAAATGTAGTACAGTGACCAAACCTGGACCGCATAATCCAAGTGAGGTATCACAAGCGCAAGATATAGTTTTAGGATAACCTCGCTAGTCTTGTAACCAGCACTCTCGACGGCAGGCAAGTTAATATTTTGAGAGGAAAATATCCAGACAGGTATTTTTTTTGTTTTACGTACCCCATCTCCCTGTGCATGTTTATCCAGTAACATCACGACTGATCACTTATTTCTTTTGGTCTATTCTCACAATGACCCAATTTGAAAGCGTATAAAAGCTCCCACCAAATGCTGTGTAAGCAGAGTTGTTCTACAAATTTAGGTGAAAACATCAACAGGAATAAGAGCAAGGAAAATTGACCAGGAGAGGGTAAGGGACGTTTAGACGGACTAAAATGTTCCGAGAGTTGATACCTTTAGGGATGTCTACTACTAGCACTGCTAAAACTACAACCACCGTTATATATACCACTACCACAATGATCACTACCAATGCAACAACTAATAACCATTCTCCTCCATCACGAACACCTGCCACAGTTAACCCACTTGTGTCCTTGAGGTGTGGCGTCGTTATCACCGATTAATGCTGCCAAGATAAAACGCTTCACCGCCCTATCATAGCTCTACGTCTCTCTCTTGTTGCTCCATGATTATGATTGCAATGTGATCGTTGTCGCTATCACCTGCTGTGACCGAGCGTCTTTTTGAGGTGGGGAAAGATAGCCACCGTTCTAGAACTGGATCACTTATTTGCTTTATATGCTATTTTTTCATGGGAATTATACGCTTGTTTTATTAATGATGATGCTTTGACACACACACACAATGACAGTGTTATTGTCTTTACATTTATTTCTATATTATACGTATTTAACGAGTAAAAATAGTCATACAGTTTTATTCTCCCGGAAGAGTTTGTTAATCTTTCTCTACCGGTACGGTTAGAAGGATAGAAAATATGGAGTCTGTTGGTTCTTCCGTCAGATGTATCGGTGAATTGGTATGACATTTAGCATCTGGCTAAATAAAATGTTTCAATTCAATTCAAAAGTCCTTTGAAAATTCTGAGAAATTAAAAAACTCTCAAGAAAAATATTATACTGTATGAAGAAAGGGAAATATGATTGTTGCTATTCTTTTGTCCTCAACACTGCAGCACACACTCACTCTCCTAATAACTGGAGTTAATGGCCGGGTGACCTTCCCTTCCCTTCCCTTCACCAGCGTTCAGAGCGGTTCTCTTAAGTTCACCAACAACAAACATCACGCGCCCCCTTGGTAAATAAGTACCCCCTAACTCATGTCTGGATGCTGCACATATGACCAAGTTTAACAATCAAAAAACTTAGCCACAAATTTCTCGTGGTTTCTCCCTGAAATTAAATAATAAATAACGGTTATAACAAAAAAATAAAGCATATATGAAATATGTTGTTAACATTAACCATTACTGTCATAACTCTTCAGTATACATTTCACTCCACCACTTCCTCTCCTCCCTGGCTTTCCAGATACTCGTACGTGATCCTTCTGTGATGTTAATATATCCATACGTTTTATGTTCAGTGAATCATTAGAGGAAATACGTTTTTTCCCGATTTAGTTTTTATATTAAGACCGATTTCATTTACAGTTTGCAAATCCTGAATGTTACTCACGGTACATAATTACTCCTGCCGACCCCTGTGTGTGTGTGTGTGTGTGTGTGTGTGTGTGTGTGTGTGGACCTTGTGGAGGTGAACTGCTAAGGGACAAGAGCCTTGTGACAGGAGCTCCTACGCAATGTTTCTTCAACACTCTACCCTGGTGTTGACAGGAACGAAGCTGTCAATACTAACGTTTTTGTTATTTACGTGCCAATTTCGTGGTTTCATACTGGTGATGCTTTGTATTTACGCCCAGCACTTGCTAACACCCGCACTTAGTTCCACAATGAATATCTTTATCTTTTAAGGAGCAGACACTATGTCGACACCTGCAAGAAGACGATGCTCTTATATTTAGTTACGCAATAGCATTTTCTTGGCTATGTTAGAGGGCCTCTGTCTTACTTTTATTAACGATGTCATGCATATTTGGGTTGCTTATATACACGCTCTTAACACAGCTTTGTCTGTCTCCACACCTGATTGCTGTGTCTGAGGTTACATCACCATCGTTCTGGCAGCGTGTGTATGGACGGTCTTGTTTCTGTTCGTAAAACTTAGATTATCTTGGTTTAAATGCGGACTGTTTGTAGTCGATTCGTACCAGCACAGTTTTGGCAACGGTGATGTAGGTATTGGATCAAAAGGAGTCTTAAGTTGGTGTTTGATGGAAAGAACGAAATTTCGTTACAGTAATAATATCAAGGGAAATTTCAATGTCATTTTTAGCCATTATCAACGCGTCTTTCCTTGTGATGACCTAAGAACCTTTTCACTATTACGCCACGCTATCTTCTACATGATGACAGTAATCACTCAAATAAAAAATGAACACCAGTTAACCATCAATCATAATTATCATCAGTTGTGGTCCTGCTGGTCATGAAAGAGAAACACCTGTATCTTCTGACCATGAAATAATCACTTTCAAGCATTGGTACATGACGATGAATTACATCATAAGCTAGGGTTAAAATATTCTGTAATGATACTTACTTTGCCAAGGCCAGCGAGGAGTGGAAGCCTGTGGGGAGAAAGATCAAGTTAGTTTAAATCGTAATGATCACAAAGAGAGAGAGAGAGAGAGAGAGAGAGTTAATTTGATGTAAACAAGAAGATATGATAAGATACGCCGATGAAAATGTAAATAAAGGTTAATTTTAACAACACATCGTTAACTATAAGTGGCGGCCGAGTCAACATTTTCATGGAAAAATCTATTGTATGGGAAATTCAGGCTTATGATCATTATAATAACCTAACCATGTACACTACTACTTTTGTACACCAATGATTATGTATACCACTCGCTATGTATACTTCTCGCCGTGTACAATGAAAGACAAAGGTCGTGTCGTGAAATTTGGTGAAAACACATGCCGAAAGGCTAAACTTTTGGTGCGCTTTGCTTCATGGTTGGAGGGGGGCTCTCATAATGTTTCCCGAGTTATATTTAATCTTCGGACAAAACCGCGACACGACTTTTGTCTTTGATTGTACATCAGATACCCTGTCCACCATTGCCCATGTGTACTGAATTACTGACCACCTCGTGAAGGGAAATCTCTCTCTCTCTCATATAAAATAGTTCAGGATATTCAAAACAAGGTAATTCCTTACATGATACTCTCCTAATGCAATTTCGATACTATTTTCATTTTCACGATCAGCCTTTTACTGTAGCTCAGAGTTAGGGAGAGAAGCGGTTGTCATGTCTCAAAGTAAGTGAGAAATTTTAATTTAAGATCAATAGACAAACTCGGTTAAGAATTAGTTACTAAATAAGATTTCAGGATCAAGATGTTAAAAGTTTCGTACACGTTTTTCTTTTCCTCGTAACTACAGTATGTAGCAAGAAACTGGCGTTGAGAATGGTGACAAAATATAATTGTGACTACAGTATAATATATAGTCTGCTATTATCCCTGTTAAGGGAAACCATTGGACCAGGATGAAGAAGGTTCTTTTTGTTAACGTTTACACAATAGATCTCAGACGCCATTTAACACTAGGATCATTTTTTGTGAGGCGGAATTTAATCTCAGTTCACAGTGCCGCAACTTTGTTTATATGAAATAATGCAAAAACTTATTACTGAAGGTCATGGTCGAGTAAATCACACACACACACACACACACACACACACACACACACACGTAAAGTTGTATATGTCAAGTGCATTATCGATAATGTGTACTTAGAATTATATAAACATTGCTGAAAGCACGTCATATAAGAAACAGGTCATCCCGCAGTCGAACAAAATCTTTAGATCAGAAGTAAACATTGATTCAGCTGACATGTGCCGCGCGAGAGCCGCAGTGATTTTTTTTTTTTACATTACAAAATACTGTTGTGCAACTTTATACTTGATGACGGGTATTGGACCCACTTACTCATGGACTTGACAGTAATGAGAAGGGCAGACAGTCAGACAAACACACAGTAAGAAAATATAAAAAGACCTTTAAAACTAAGAAAAATTCAATTTCAAATTAAGTAATTAGTAATATTCTAGACTGGCCATACTATCTGGGTTATGTGTGAGGCTTATGTGTGCACAGGCAAACACTCCACATGTATGTTCAAGTGGACTCGTACACACTATACACCCACAGGCATAGCCGGAATCATTGTATATACAAATAGACACAAGCACACGTTATAAGCGCACACACGGATAAACACGCGTACACACTACCAGGAGCATATAAACAAACATGTAGGTAAAATGATTCTTTTGTTATAGTGGAATAATTATGAATCAACCTAACAAAACATGAAACTGTCTTAAGGATGAAAATATAATTTCAAAATGACTAGAACAAAATAAAAATTACTTTAAGTATAATGACTTACAAACGCACACCAAACAAACAAGTTATACAAACATATATACTAATACAGTATACAGAATGATCTTGCTTAAAAATTAACGTGCGTGTGTGGACACAATCCTATTACCACAAACAAACACACCCTACACGCTGGTAGACGAGTGGAACAAGCATAGCAACTTTGTAGTAAGTGCTAGAACGATGGAAAGTTTTAAAAGGAGGCTAGATAGATTCATGGACGATAGAGAGTAATATTAGTAACTCTCGACAGGAGCTGCCATGCACAGGCCAACCTGCCTATTGCACACATACACCCTACACACTCCCTCACAGCACACACACACACACACACACCCTCACAGCGCGCACACACACTCTCTCTCTCTCTCTCCATCCTGGAAATGCCATCCCTCAGTGACCTCCACCACCAAGCACTGGAAAGGTTTGGCCGTGGACTACTGCACCACCCTCGCCACCTCCTGCAGCCCCCCACCCAACTCGCGCAGTCCGCCACTACAACAAAATTCAGCCCATAAGAGCCCGCACCGATAGATATAAGAACAGCACCATCCCATCTATTAAAATAATAAACAACAACAACTGATTTATGTAATGCACAGCCCTGTAAATGTATTCCATGCATATTATATCATTATGCCTAAATCAAATGTAAGTGTATATTTTCAGCCACCGGCTGCAACTCTTAATAAACCGTTTATTATTATTATTATTATCACCCTCACACACTCCCTCACAGCACTCACCCCCACCCTCACAGCACGCACACCCCCTCACAGCACACACACCTCACAGCACACACACACACACACAGCACGCACGAGCACACACCTCACACACACACACTCATAGCACACGCACACACACACACACACACACACCCCACAGGCGCGCACACACACACACACACACACACCCTCAACACACACATACACACACGCACACACCCTCACAACACACGCCCTCACAGCACACACACAGACACAGACACACACACACACACACTCCCAACACACACGCCCTCACAACACACACACGCCCTCAACACACACACACACACACACCCCTCACAGCACACACACACACACACACACACACACACACACACACCCCTCACAGCACACACACACACACACACACACACACACACACACACACTCTAAACGCTGCAAGCGGCAAAATCAAAATCAAAATCAAAATCAACACACACACATCCTCAGAGCACTATATCAATTCTCATGTACAGAACCAAATACGCAATGTGCTTGAATACCTCCCACGTAAATGTGAATAACAAAGTGTGAGGCCAGACATACTGCCTCACACGCCTGTACTCACGCATTTGTGAATAAGTTACCCTTTATTTATAGAACTAAACAAATAATGTAAATGAAATACTGTGTAATATTCAGTGCCATAATATCCTGACAACGGGGGTTAATTATTATGACCCTTTGTAAACCCTACTCTGTAATCCTTTTGCGCTACCGCTCACAGGATGAGTGTGGGGTGCACAATAAAGTAGCCGCTGCAAGCGGCAAAATCAAAATCAACACACACATCCTCAGAGCACGCACACACACACACACACACGCGCGCGCACACACACACACACACACCCACCCTCACAGCACACACCCCCACTTCGCCCCCCTTTTACACACTCATCATTCACAGGTGATACATCAGCCGCCAGTATGTATGTCTACATGTACACCTCTCACCACCTGGCGATCTCTTATCTCATTTAGATACACTAGCTCGAGTATACGCCAGGTAGGGTCCAGTTATCTATCCAGGTCTTCCTTCATATAAATAATCAATATCACTATAATTATTAAGATTATCACCATTATAATCATCGCCGTCAACCACCATCAACATTTTCATCATCCCTAATATCATCATCACCATTATATATCACATTATCCACCATCTTCATCGTTCGACGTGTAATCATCACCATCATTATTTCCTGTCAGAAGTTATTGACCAACATAAATCACGGACCAACAAAGGTGACATTAGTTTCATCTAAATCTAACAAATGTCAATAACGACTTAAATGCCAATAACGACTTCTAAACAAATAAATCAATAAACAAAAAATATTATACAAATTAATAGACAATCTCACATGTTAATGGTAGTTTTGTTTTGTTTAGCCAGGGATACGACAATATTGACCTCTAGAGTAAAGTCGGTACTGACAGATACACGCACAAGCAGACAGACAGACATACAAACAGACATATGATGTAACGATAAGGCAGATAGACACACAGGATGTGGCGATAAGACAGACAGACAAATAGCGAAGTGACAAACAGACAACACCATCCAAAACTAGACCTGTTTCTTCCTCCGACACTGTGCCCACCACCACCACCCAGATAAATACCATAAATACTAACCCTAAACTCCATTCTCGTCACCTCTCAAGTGATAACCCTCCCCCCACATACCCTTAAACAGGAACGTATTTAACAATTTGATAGTCCCTTACCTTATCTCCCTGGTTTTAATGATTTATGGGTAAAGTTTTTTTTTCTCCCCAAACTGCACTCTCGAGTAAAGTCAATTCCAACTTCAGAATCATTACCATAACGACTATCTGTAAACAGGTCGCCGTAATGAACGAGAGTGATATTCCACTGACCGCCCGACCCAATCCTACACTTACACCCGAGACTTGCCATATCAAGGTCATTCTGGCTTACATACAGTATGTGTGCCGGTTAGTTGGTTTCTCGCGTCTCCAAACGTTAACATGTAAAGTACGCGTCTTTGAAGGTTATTAATACCGAAGCATACTTAAAGGAAGACTCGGTAATTTTGTGCCCTTCAACAACAAGTGATCATAAACTCGACCTGGACACAAGTCTCGCACTAATATTTACAATTTACTTTTCAGTCAACTGCGGTTACATTTAAAGTTACTCGTTCTCGCTCACCAAACAGTGAGAATGCTCACAATAGTTGCCTTTATAGTTCTAAGATGAATTTATATTAAATTAATAGCCCTTGAGCTAACAAATTTCTCAAAATTTCTAGAAACCTCTACTGTATGACAAATGAACACAACATTATTTCCTTATGGAAGGTAAACGAGGCATATGACATAACCAACCTCAAATACACAGTTACGGTGAGAAACTCGAAGACATCCACGTTAGAAATACTCAATGCAAAAGTTCTATGAGACTGTGTGGGGCGCAACATGTGGTCGAGCTCACCTGTGTCGCTTCAGCTTCGTCCGCACTCGGCGGTGGTCGCAAGTCAACTGGCAGCGGGCCACTGTGGCCACCCAGGGGTTCTCCTCATAGCTATTCCGAAATGACGTCATCAACTCGTGACGCAATGAGAACGCCACAGTGTCTCCGATCAGCTGATTGACGAATGCCCACAGCCGACAGTATAAAAAAAAAACAAGAAAAAACATTGAAAAAATACAATAACCGACAAACTGAAAAAAATATAAAATTCATTCCAAAAGAAAGTAATGGGCGTGCCAGGAATCAAGTGATTAAAGAAGAAATTCTTTCGAATAAAAAAGTGCGTTGTTCAACAATAACAAGGAGCCAGTTGACCCTTCAAACTAAAGCCATGGATATGGTTAAGATTGGTTTTATTCGGGGTAAGTTAGGTTAGATTAGCGTTAGGTTAGGTTAACTTTGTTAAAGGTAAGGTGGGTTCGATTAAGTTGGGTTTACTTTAGTTAGAATAAGTAGGGTAAGGTTAGGGATAAGATAAGTTAAGTTTAATCAGGCTAAGTCAAGTTCGAATTAAGTCAGTTTAGGGACAGGATAGATTAGCTTCAGTTAGGCTAAGTTAAATAAGAATTAATTAGATTAGAGTAAATTTGTTTCGTTTTTGCATCGTCACTTGTTACGACCCTAGGGTAGATCGTTACGTAAACGCAAATCACTGAGGTTTTCAAATATATCGGTATTTATTATTATATTGTTAATCCCAAGTTCTCCTAACAAAGGTCAAGTTAACAGTTCAAAACCTAAATAAGTCAATAAAAATAGGAAAATTTATTAACTTATTCCCACCACCACATATGCACACAAAATAAAATAAATAATAATAATATGACAAGATGTTTGGAAGTGGCCGAGTAAGGACTGAAGGTCCAACACGATCACACAATAAATATCAAGCAAAACAAATCTCAATAATCAAATGCCAACTCCCAAAACACCAGAGAGAGGGTATACTACTTAACTTAAGTCAGCTGTGGCTAGAATGATTTTACAGTGTACCAGCCGGCCACTCACGTCACCTCTCTATCGCCAAATATTGACATAACATATCCGGATTGGTCAAACGTAAACTTTATCTAAATTACCCAACTGACATTAGTTCCACTATCTTACCTACATACAAACATAATACAATCAATATTACATGGGAGACAACTATTGCATGAAAAAATACACAAAGTGATAATGTAAAAAAACCAATTTAATACGTAAACAAGGGCTCAGTCGGTGTGGGCGAGTAATGAGCGAAACTGCTCCAGCCAACCACACACCATCCGAACCAACGTATTTCATACCAAGAACAGAAACTACTGTGGATATTCGTAACATACTCTATTTCAAGTTTTTACACCGCTTTTCCCCTGTTAACCTAATGTGTACACACACTCACACACCCTCTCTCTCTTTCTCTCTCTCTCTCAAATACATACATACATACATACATACATACATACATACTAATAATTTGCTGTCACTCGAAATCGAGTATGATGATTATCCATTTATGACACAATGATATGAGTTATTAAGAAAGTCACCTTCGTTGGTGAGCTCTGTGGAGGGCAGGGCCCTCCACAGATATTGCACGTGTAGAGGCTACATCTAGTTCGGGAGGGGTGGCGGCAGCGTCTTTCCGGTGCTGGCGTTTGTCTACCTCGGTATGCAGTCGGTCTAACTCGAAAGTATTGACACTTTCTCGTGGGGTGCTCCTCGAAGCGTTATGGTGTAGAGTGGTTGTCTCCCAGGTGAGGGGGTCGATTTGGCAATTTTTCAGGTTTGTCCTAAGACTATCCTTATACCTTTTCCGTTGCTCAACCTGCGTTACGTTTACCATTCGTTTGGTAAAGTAGCTGCTTCGGCAGTGTACTGTCGTCCATGCGGTTACATGGTCAGTCCAACGTAGAATACTGGCACTTGTTCTCTTATCTTCCCAGCGAACTCAGAGGATGGAACGTAGACTACGTTGGTGAAAATTGTCTAGCGCCTTGAGGTGCCTCCTGTATGTGACCCATGTCTCACTGCCATACAGCAGGGTGGGGAGGACCATGGAGGTATATAGGGTGGAGGTGGCACGCCGCGCGCTCCGTGAAGCCAATTCTCCCCGGCGTCGGTCATCTTTGGCTTTGAGAGATACGTTTCGTGCTGTGAACTGTTTGCCTGCAAATGTGTATCTCACCTGTAGATAGGTCTCAGCTACTGTTTTGATTAGCAATACAAAAAAAATTCGATCAGGATGGGTCCGATGACATCTGAAATGCTACAAGCAATTCTTAGTGTCCCGGGCTCTGTGGCATACTGATTCTACTACATTTGGTAACCGAACATCATATTAATTATACCGAAATAAATATTCACTGCATTACCTATTTCCCAATATATTTCATCCTTTGTCTCATAACGTTTCACACAGTGTTGGCAGATACATATTTATATACTGTACCTACATAGCTTCCATACACATGTCAGTCGAAATTACGGAAAAAAGTTGCCTGTATGTACAGTAAGTTGCAGATTACCCCTAAAACACACATCATGTACACAGCAACTGAATGGTGGGAGTTGTATTATTTAACCATTGGGTCGTTTTTTGTTATCAAGCGATTCTAAGATTATGAAGTCAAGTCTGTGATTTGAGGAAGTAACTTTTGCATGATTGACCAGTAACAGTGGACGGAGACGGACGAGTGACTGGACACCCAATACTGTACTGAAAAACTTGCCCAGATGGTCGTAGACTCTGTACATAAGGGAGTGTGTAGTGCCCCCCCCCCCCCACACACACACACACATATCGAATACTAAGAGTCAGATATATCAATAAATAAATACACAACACAGGCTATGAGAGTAGTTATTGGTTCTTTGTTTGTCTAGTCGCAGTGGTTCTCAACCTGGGGGCCATGGCCCCCAAGGGAGCCACGGCAAGAATTTAGGGGAGCCACGGCGAGGTGTTATAAATTGTACGTTTCCAAATAATGTTGGGAATCTGAATTAAACAAAATTTGTATTACTTATTTTGACTTGGCAGAAGAGAATTTTCATTCTTTTTTTTGTCATTTTGTTGAATCATAACGACAATACAATTTTATTATTTACATACTCTGGTGCTATTTTATATTTTTTTCATTTTTTACGGATAATTTAAGATTTCACAGGTCCAGTCCCTGTCTGTGTGACAGGCGCTGGACCGAGCTGCTGAACTGACTTGTTCAGTTCGTGTCCCTGTGTCATCCCTTTGCAAGTGGTGATAGGACCGAAAGATCTCAGTGGAGTGTATTGTCTCTGAACCATATATTGTTTTTGAGATTGACTCAAGCATAATATACTCTATAATTGGTGTTACTTATTTTGTTTCATAATTCATGTGGTAGCTGCTTTACGTGGGTGCCATTGTTGTTCATACTCATTCTTTACTTATATAATCCTACCATTTTTAGTGTTAAATTGGTATGACTCACTATTCTTCTCATTCTTCCAAGTTGGGCAGTGCTTGTCGAAGGAGGCGTGTTCTTGCTTACAGGAAGTACACTTCAGCTTGAGTGTGAATGTTTACCTGTGTGCATGTTTGTGTATGACTGTATGTGTGCTTTATGTGTGAGTGCATGGGCGTGTTATGTATGTGAATGTGTGTATGTGTTTGCCATTCTAACTCTTGTCCTATTTATTTGTCCTTCTTTATCATTCTTTAGTCTTTATCACTTGTCTGTTTGTCTGTTCTGGGAGAAAAATGAAGGAGGCCACGAGGATGTTGAAAATTCCTCAAGGGGGGCATGGAGTGAAAAAGGTTGAGAACCACTGCTAGTCTAGTGCGATCTGCAAAAATTATTTTCATATGATTTAAATAATTTAGCATTTTACTAATATCTTTTAACGTTCATTTTTCACAGATAAACAAAAATACCCTAATTTCCATGGTTGAGTGCATTGCTATATGTTAATAATACTATGTTATAAACGAGTAACCGTATTGAAAAAGAATGTCTCAGTTTACGATAGAAGATAGAAGCACAGTATCCGTTCTTTATGAAAAAATTCTGTAATTGTAGGTGACACTCAAGGAGTTTGTGTACGGAATTATCATCGCTGTCAATTTCAACAGTTTATTCCAAATTATAGCTAATTTATAGCGCATTGATATCCCGCTAGTTGTATTACCACGACACACTGATATTCTAATAGACTAATTGCCACATTTTTTTCCTGTTTGTCGGGGTGAGTATTGAAGTGGTGTGGAGGTGGTGTGTTGGGGGTAATTGTAGTGGTGTGGGAGTGACTTGCAATATAGTGATAACGTTAATAAACTTACGCATATATAAAAAAACAACAACAAAACATTTGGAGTGTAGAAGTTATTTTAGAGTTCGGTGCAAATGAACGTGGAATTCTCTCCCAAGTGGAGGCATCTGCAGGGGAGCTTGTTCATTACTAGAGAACAACTGGCAGTCCATAGAAAACTATAGTTACTCTGTGTATCTTCCTTGGCCGAACCCCGAAAGTGCTTCGATTTTTTCATTCTTTGGTTCACTTTTTTTTACTGGTTCACAGGAAAATTACTTCCGTATCTATTTCCCTTTCAGTGACTGGATGGCAGAAAGCTCACCATACACGATTGTCCGTCATCTGTAGTCTCATTCATTTTCAAAATTATTTTCAGCCGTCATTAGATAAAATAAAATTGGTAATTATTAACGAAAATTAATCATGAGATTCGAGGCTTAGACAACGACCCCGCTGTTACGACACTAAAATAATCTACAACCAATCATGAAGTAGTTTTAACATTTTCCAAGCCTACCTGTATACATGAAATATAGTAATATACGATTTCTGTATTTCTTAAAACATTACATGTACAGGGAACAAAGAACCTGGGGTAGGATATTCAAAAGTATTTACAATATTGTATCTCTCGAGGTTACAAGTACCCTCTGTAGCTCTCCCACCGAGGACTCCCACTACCCCATTCTTGACCAAACT